AACCTCCGTCCCACTGAATTCCCACAAAGTTGTACAGTGAACAGTAGAACCCCATCTCCCTGCTTTCCCTGCTGCTTTAATCTTCTTAAAGAAACCACTTCTATTTCGGGCGGGAGACAGTTCCCTAGTCCTTGTGCGCTTGTGTAAATACACATATTGTAGAAGCTGACGTAAGTCTTGTTCGTAAAGGGCACTTGAAGTTGCAAGACCTAACTTAAAACAGGCTACCAGAGGAAACACGTTTGCTGAATCTGTGTGTAGCTGACAGCCGTCTATAAAAATGCATATATCTTAGCAGTCTTTAGAGACCCTGGTTGATTGCAAATGAAGCCGAGGAGAAAATTACCACTAACAGTAAATATTTTGGAAGGTTTTGAAGGCTATCATTCTCCTAGAACCACTTGGCCTTGGTAACTTTATTTTTTCATGATTTGGGAGGCCCACTTTTGGTGCTATGCTTAAAACTCATTGCCATCAAGTCAATTCCAACTCACAGCGCCCCTACAGGACAGAGTAGGACTGCCCCATAGGGTTCCAAAGCTGTAATCTCTACAGAAGCAGACTGCCATACCTTTCTCCCGAGGAACGGTTGGTGGGTTCAAACTACAGACCTTTCTGTTAGCAGCCGAGTGATTAACCACCGCACCTCCAGAACGCCATGCTGTACCTGGGGAGCTGTCAGAGCTAAGAGTTGTAACCTCCTCTCTTAGAGAAGAAAATGAAGTCTACCCTAAATCAGGGTCTCACCATCTACCCTTCACTGTTTTCCCTTTTGTGATCAGATCAGACAGGAAGCCACGTAACTTCTGACACCTTTTCTGACTTGTGAGTGGAGTTAGGATCATTTTGATCACATAGTAACATTTTTCTCATTTTGACCAATTGTATAGTCATTTTTGAACAGAAAGGCAGCAGGCCCTTTGTTAAACTTTTCTTGACATCCTGTGTTATGTGTGGTTGGAGCAGCTGACAGGTCATGTGATGTTTTCGCTGCTTCGAAGGACAGAAATAGAGATTCAGAAGAACCACACAGCAGAGGACCGCGAAAGTTTACCAAACATGTTGCTTAAAAACACACTTCCCCCCCGGTTCAAATGCTTTTTACACAAGCGCAGTGTGAGGGCCGTGGGTGAGAGGGGTTTGTCTGCAGAGCGCGGCAGGAGCAGTGGGGTTAGGAAGCGGCTAACGTGTGCACAGAGCCCTCGTCACGTCCTGTACCGCAGTGTTGGTTAAAAGCAAAGGATCAGGACATAAACACCCTTCCTTGCCCTGTGGCCTGGTTTGATTGATGAGGTTTAGAGATCTGCCGGCTGGCTAAAGGAGAGACCAGAAACCACGGCTAATGGGTACAGACCAGCACATGCTGTCCTGGGCACCGGCCTGCTGGGAACTTACTTAAGCAGAAAGACTGTTAAATACAAGAACGGATTTCTCAAGGCGATATAACTACAACATATAAATACTTCCCGTTTTGCAACACACATTTTCACTGTATCCCTCCCACTTGGGTGTGAAGGGAGAAAACTCCAGCCAGAGTGCTAGTGAGTCTTTAAGTCAATGTGTTTCTAGAAACCAAGGCTACAGAAAAAGTTACTCTTCCTCTCCCTGCAGAAGGAAAGACCACAAAAGGGGAAACAATGTTTACTTTTCTCACTTCTTGCTCTACAGAGACATTTAATAACTTTTCTGATACTTGGGAAATGTAACCATTGTCCCAGGAGTCCCTGGGTGGTGCAGTTGATTAAGGGCTGGACTAAGACCTGAAAGGTTGGTGGTTTGAGCCCCCCCTGAGGTGCCTCGGAAGACAGGCCTGGTGATCTGCTTCCGAAAGGCCACAGCCTTGAAAACCCTGTGAAGCACAGTTCTGCTCGGCACACGCGGGGTCGCCATGAGTTGGAATTGACTTCACGACAACTGGTTTCTTGGTTAATGATTCTCTGGGAGAGAGATCTGGAAAAGGCTCGGGGTGGGGGGACCACAGAGCTCCCCCTGACTGGAAGTGGAGGCCCTGGCCTCACTGAGCTTCCTCTCCTCTGGACCTCATCTGTCCTCTGCTCCTTCAAGGTCATCGCGAGGACTTGGGGGGCTGGGTATCAGGTGGCTCTCACCATGGTCACGAAGCTTTATTCTGCACTGTTCTGACCTATCCTAAGCCACTAACATCAAGTGCTACAGTTTCTGTGGGTATCGGCCAGCCAGGGACATTTACGAAGACAAACCACTTGTTAATGGTAGAAAAGCAAACCAGGGGGAGAGGAACTCTGGCACAAAACAAATCCAACACAAGGAGCGAGGGGCAGTAGCTGGGTTTTGCCCATCGATGCAAACAAGTGGTCCCCATGCCCACAGTGAAGAACCCACGAACGAGCAAGGGTTCCTGCCCACGTGCAAATGGCACCACATTCCCTGGGACACGTGGCTGCAGGGCCAGCCTCATTGTGGACTTCCTGGGCAACCTGGTCAGGTTCTTGCTGGTCTCACCGATTCAGCCCAGTGCCACTGAGACCCCTCGAGGCAGGGGCAGAACAAATGGCAACTGGACATTTAGATGACCCACCACGTGCCCTTCTGGAACACCAAGAAGAGATGCCGTAAGAGGAGCGCTCTGGTGTGGGCTTGCACCGAGGTCCCGCACAAAGGCTGAGCTGCCCAACCTCGTTTCTCAGCACTGCACTGAAAAGGGCCTTTCTGCCCTTGCATTTTTCAGTTCCATTTGTCTACAGTCACTCGATGTGGAGAACATCACCCTGTCTTCACGGTCCCGGGCATGAGCACCTCACAGGCGGCGTGCCCTTCCAGATACGTCTATAGCTAAACGACTTGCAATGAAAAATAACGTGCTGGGGATGTTTCTTTGGTTGGCCGAGTCAAAGGATGTCCCTAACTACTCTAAAAAGGGAAAGGGCCACATCCCCGTCCTTGGGGAGACCTGCTTTCCTGTCTTCCTGGATGAGGGAATTCTGGTTGGAATAGGTGCAGAAGGGGATGCCAGGTTGGCTAGCTCGTGATTTCAGCAGTCCTAGTGCAGGAACTGCGTGATCTGCGCTTCTGGGGGAAGGTTCATGATATGAGTCCTGCAAAATCAACTCTGCAGCCATGGCTGGCGTCTGATGCTACTTCCTGAGTCCACAGAAACCCTAACAACATGAAACGGCCCACAAGTACAGGTTCTAGTTGTGGAATGAAGAGTCTCCAGTAGATCTTTCCTCGATTTAGGGGAGAATTTGTTTTTCAGTTTGCTCTTTAAGAGCCCACCCCACAAGCATGAAATAGTCACACGTCTTAGAAAATACTGCTGTTTAATTTTCTACTCGTGGACTTTTAAAAAGTTAACATAATTAAATGCTTTTTCCAGCCCCCACTGATTCCACCCCGAACTATGCACTCATACATATGGAGGAAAACCTGCTAGCAGCAGCTCAGGACGTGAACCGGGGCGGTCCTACCCATGGGTTACGGAGTACTCAGGTGCGAGGCAACCCTGTTGTGTCCATAGCCGACATTATGGCCTTACGTTCTTTGTCCGCGAGGAATAATACAATGCACAGCACCGAAAACACAGAACACAAAATGCTCGCCTTTGTTTTTTCTCTTGCCTTATATTTAGCTTGTATTCCCATCCCCACTATCTTTGACACCAGCCAACTAATATATATCTTGAAACCCAAACCAAACCAGTTGCTGTCGAGTCAATTCCAACTCATGGCGATACCCCGGTTACCTATTACGAAAAATAGTTCTCTTGTAATTTCCTCTTACATTTATGTACAAATGACAGGTTTGTGGAACGGCTGCAAATCAGGTACAATGTTCATCGATACAACACGCTTCAACCGGAGGCGGGCTGAGTACGCAGGCAACCACCGTATCGTATTAGAGACATTTTATTGAAAATGCGAAAATAGGAAACGTATTATAGCCTAAAATAAATTACATAACATATACAGTATATATTTATATCTTTAAAATATTTTTTTTTTGTTTGTTTAGGTTCTTTCAGTCTAGGAATTTCGACTAAATCAAGAATTTCATGAATGGTGTCCATAATTTTGAAAGAAAAAAACCCGCTTTCCAAAACTTAGAAAAATATACTGCACTAAATGGATTTCCAATGCTTCACTTTCAGGGAAGATCACATAGTGACTCTGCTACCGCTTATAAAATGTCTTGTTTTACTGCGTGGTATGAGAGGGAGGTACCGTGGCATAGGCCAGTGGCCTGTCCGCAGAGTTAGGACTAAGAATGACAGAACCAGGGGATACATCTACTTCCAACGTTACAGCACGGTGGCCTGGCATTCGAATGCTAGATTATGACTTAAAGCTTCAGTTCACTTTAAACTAAAATGTCAAGTTAGAATGCTCCGCTAAATTTGCGCTAATGCCATCTTCAGGGGAGGTGAGTGAAAAGCCAGCCTTCGGGGAAAGGCACAGGAAAGAGGCTGCCACCTGGAGAAGCAGTGGGTGACAACTTTCAAAGGTTAGCTTGCATACATACATGGGGGGTGGGGGGGGGCATGGGAACTGACAGCTCACCTGGAATCTAGGAAAATGAAATGCTGTCATTGCATCGTGTCAGCCGGACACTCCCCTGACGTCTCAGGCCTTCCTACGTGAGGCTGTCTCCGTGCGTCGGTGCGGGCTCACAATGCCTGTTCTTGGTGGTCAGGCTCTTGGCTGCAGCCTGAAGCTTGGCCCTCACGTTTGTGTGGTGGAGTTTACACCTCTGTGGCTGAAGGGGAGAAGAGGCTGCTGGGGTCCCGTCTGTCTGTACAGCCATGTCGTCGTCGCTGGTTGCCGTCAAGTCGGTTCTGACTCATGGCAGCCCCGTTCGTGCAGAATAGAACTGCTCTATAGGGGTTTCGAGGCTGTGACCTTTCGGAAGCAGATCGCCAGGCCTTTCTTCCGAGGCTCCTCTGGGTGGGTTTGAACTGCCAACCTTTCAGCTAGTAGTCCAGTGCTTAACCATGTGTGCCACCCAGGGACAGCCATGTTACTGCCAAGAAAACTGAAGACAGCTGGGTTTCAACCAGTTGATTCTTAAGAAGGAGGAGAAGGGACAGAGTCTGTGGCCTGCCGGGCAGCGGTGGCCCGAGAGGCAGCCGAGAGGCGGTGGCACAGCCACAGTCCTTTGGTTCCGTGTGGAGATTGTCCCGTGGAGGAGGAGGAGGAGGCGGCTTCTACTGTGAGGCAGCCGTGTCTTTTGGGTTTTCATGAAGCAGGGGAATGAATTCAATTGTTTTGTTGGTTTGTTTTTACAAAGCAACAGCAAAGACCTTCCTCTAGGCCCCACATCTGCGTGAGCATACCCAGTATGCTAGTGAATTTACATGAAACCTTTAATCAAGGCCTCTTTCGTTTCAAAAAAAAGAAAGGAACAAAACGATGGGAGAAGAAACGGTGCTGAAGCGTGGCCCCCGCTGTCCCTGCAGCGAACAGCCCTACTGGCTCTCTTCTCGCATCTCCACAAGGTCCGCCACCTCCTCCGCCCGCGGCATGTCGGTCATGGCGGAGTCCTCCCCCTCGGCGGCGGACTCGTTCTCCATCTTCTTTTTCTACACCAAAGAAAACCCGTCATCAGGGAGCTGGGGACAAGGACACAGCACAGCAGGACCAAGGGCAGGGGGCGGCTGCCTGGGTTTTCGGGGCCCCTCACTGCAGACTTGGGGTGCCCTCGTCTAGCAGCCAGGTCCTGGCTGCATCTCAGAGCAGCCTTGAGGATCAGGGCCACCATCTGGCCTGCCTGCACTCCAAGGGGCACTCTGGGGGATACAGACCCCCCACCCTCCACCGTGCCCTCAGGAACCCACCATCAGTGCTGGCAAAGCCTCCAAGGGAACCTGGCTCTGCGGAGGACACGCGGCCCTGCGGCCCTTTCCACCGGCGCTGCGGTCTCCTCTCGGCCCACTCCTCACGGCCACCGCCGGCCTATTTCCCCTCCTCCTCCCTAAGGCCTTGGTTTCAGAATACTCTCCCTGCTCTGTCACCGTCCCCTGGGGGCTGCTCTGGGCCGGCCATCCTTCTCTCCAGCCCTCCTCCTGCCCTACTTTCTGGTGGGTGAGCTCACAGCCATGTGCCCATGCTCTCGGGGAACCCTTCTCCACGCCTTGACCTCACCTGTTTCCGGTAGACGTAGCAGGCGGCTATGGCGACCATGGTGGACTCGCCCACGAACCCCGCGAGGAGAGAGCCGACGCCCAGAGTGGCTCCGTGGACCCTGGGGACGAGAAGGTGAGTGCGGTTGGTCTGTTAAGGCCACGTCGCAGCACAAAGAGAGCGCCCAACCCCAACCACGGCTCAGACGCGCAACGTGGACAACACGGAAGAACGACCCACAGTCTCGCTCCTCTGGCTTGGGTGGGGGCTGCGCCTAACACCCATCGCTGTGCCACGTGGTGCGGGAACCCTGAACTCAGAGCCAAGCGGCGCCCCTCCCGGGAGGAGCACTGGTGGACCCCTCCCCTCCACCTCTCAGCTCCACCCTGCACTCCTCATCGCCTGACCTCCCAAAGTCTCCAGCCTACCGCCTGACATGCAGATTTAGGGTGCATCAGCCCCTGCAATTGTGTGGGCCAATCTGTTGTCTGACCCACAGATTTGGGACTTGCCAGCCCCCACAACTGTGAGCCATTTCCTTGAAGTAAACCTCTGTATTTACACATACACACACACCTTACTGGTTTTGCTCCTCCAGAGAACCCACACGAAGCCCCCCTTTGCTCTCCCACCCTCACTGTGATGGCTGACCAAGTGGAGTTCCATTTGTTCTCAAGACTGGGGGCTCCCCGAGGGCAGGGCCATGTCCTCCCTCCTTGTGCCTTGCCCCCAGTGTGTTCGCGGAGCCCACAACAGTGCCTGGCTCATAGTTGGTGCGTATACACCTGAACCCGGAAGCATCTGGTGCCTGGGAGACAAGCAGGACACCCACTCTGCATTTCCAATTCTAGAAACACTTGGGGGTTTCATCCAAAATGCAGTTTACCTCCGACAGGGTCCTGCAGGCACAGGACCAGCCCCCACCCGATGACGTACCCTAGGTAGGGCAGGACCACGAGGCTGGTGATGAGGACGATGATGCGCAGCACGGAGCTGGGGGCCAGGACGAAGGTCTTCTTCAGTGTCATCAGCCACCCGGTCAGGTGGGCCCTCACAGTGACTGTGGGGAAGAGCAGAGGCCTGTCAGCAACGCTGCCTGGTTCGCTACTCGGCTTCCCGCCTCCTCAGGGCTGGCCCGTAGGGTCTGGATGGCAGGGCAGGCCGGCTCCTTGCTACATGTCACCACCCATTTCCCAGTGTCTCTACAGGCCCGGCTGCTTCTGCACTGGTTCTGCCCCATCCCGCACCCCCAGCCCTGGCCCAGCCTCAGACTCTGAGCCTTCACTTCTAGAAGAGGAAGCAGGCTTAGAGAGAGGAAGTGACTTGGCGGTGGTTCCGCACTGGTGACCAGGAGAGCTGGACCTGAGACCAGTCTCCCGGCCCCAGTCTGAAGCTGGCTTCCCAGCTTAATGATTTTAGGGGGGCTTTCTGGGCAATTAACTTCTGAATAGGTAATGACATGCACTTAGTATAGAATTCAAAAGGTGCAAAAGTGGGAGGAAGAACCTTTTTGCTATATTCCCCTTCGCATCTTTTAAATCCTATATATAGAGGCATCCGCTGTTCTGTTTCCTGAGTTACCTCCAGAAATGGGGTATAGATATACAAGCATTTATACATACATACTATATACAGATACACACACACACGTTACACATTTGTTATGGAAATGGTAGCATACTTATCAACCATTCTGCATGCTGCCTTTCTCATTTGATAGATAACTACCTCGTTCTTGTAGCACCTCTATATCCATTTGGGAATCTTCCAACTGGCTTATGGTGTGGCTATCAGCATCTCCCTTTCTGACCATACGCTGTCCAGCCTCAACTCTGCCCCTGGCCTCTTCTTTCTCAGCAGCCCCTCTCCTGTGTGCATCTCCACGTTTTAGCAGTAAGCTCACTCTGCTTGTGGTGTACAGGTCTATGAATTTTAGTGCACACATCGGTTTGTGTAACCACCACCACAATCAGGGCACAGAAGTCTGGTTGCTCTAAAAGATTCCTCAAAAAGCTCCTTGGGATCGCCCTTTGGATCACATTCTTTTGACTGTGTTTGTAACCTCTGTACTTTAAAAAAACAAATTATTCCCGTTTGAGTCGTTTCTTGAACTTTCAACCTACTTTGCACCTTCCTAATCCTTTGTGAAATTTTCCATTTTCGCTTGTGATGCGATCGCACATGTTTCCAAAGAAAGAAGATGTAATCAGGCATGAGGGTAAATAGGAATTTCTCTCCATCCCCTTTTCTTTTTCTTTACCTGGGACTGGGAAGAAGGAGAAGATCCGCAAGGGAACAACACAGAGTTCTGCGAAGGCAAAGTCCACACCAATGATGTCTATCAAAATTTTCTCGGAAACATTGGGGGTCCAGAACATCACAAAGCAGAGCTGGGGGGAGAAAGACACTCAGTAAGGCTGTAAGGCAAGGGCATAAGGGAGTGAGATGGGAGTCCAGTGTTACATGAACCCCAAGGACTTCTGAAAGATGGCGCCCAGTCTGGCGGCTGCATACTAGTCCCAGGCTGCCCCTTGCCTGTTCACCCTCACCTGCCAACAGAGGCCCCAGTGCAGGTCCATTTGCCACATCTGCCCTGAAGGGGCCCTGCAGTGGGGCAAATGTGGCACATCCAATGGTAGGTGGGTACCTTAGTGGGGAGCTGTGCCGGGGGGAGGCCAGGGTGCTCTCAGGAAAAGCTTAACTAGGGTGTGAAAAGGCTCAGTCAGTTCAGGGTGGCTGTGTCTGTTAACATGATTTTTACAGCTATGATAAAATAATTAAAAGTGACCTAGAAGCATTTGGATGTATGTATAACCACAATGAATAAGCACACATAATGGAAAATACAATATTTAGATTAATTATAGACTTGTAAACTTTTCTGGAGTCCCTAAGTGGTGCCAATGGTTAATGCGCTTGGCAGATAACTGAAAGGCTGGAGGTTCAAGCCCACCCAAGGTCACCTCAGAAGAAAGGCCTGGTGATCTACTTCCAGAAAACCAGTCATTGAAAACCCTATGGCGCACAGTTCTACTCTGACACACATGGGGTTGCCATGAGCTGGAGTTGACTCGATGGCAACTGGTCATCTGGTTTAAACTTTTCAAGGTCTAGTTAAGAGAATAAGAGAAGAGACAACAGCAACACAATCTGGAACCTGGGAAAGCAGATGCGCAAATGGTAACTGATTTAAGAGACTCCAGAAAAATGGGATCCTAAACCGACAGGGGAAGGTCAGTGGAGATCATTCCCCCCACCCCCCACCACATCCTCACAGGAGGCATGGTGCAGGACCTTCTGGAAGCAGGGGTGAAGGTGGGGCAAAAGCCAGGCTGGCTGGACATCTATTTAGTAAGCAATTAGGGCCACAGTACCTCTTGTACAACTGCCAACTGTGCCTCCATGAACCTGGCAGGAAACCAGAGTTTAGTTTCTGGAGAAGGTAAAACAGGTTATCAAGCACAGTTGAAGGCAGAGTTACCATACAGAAAACAGGGGGATTAAGGGAAGGATGACATATTGAAAATCCTGGCCTTCTTCCCCTACTTAGCTCCTTTCAAAGGAAAGTGAGTTGAGTAATCTCTGAGAAATCTAACCAACCCAAGAAAGAAGATCTAAAGTTCCTAAAAATGAGAGGTTCCCAATGAAACAGCCCCTCCAGACCAGTCATCAGTGAGGACCACAGGTGATACACCTTACCCTCGTGTTCACAGTTCCCAACCAGTCTAGTGCCCCACTCTTAAAAACAAGTAGACAACCAGGGACCATCAAACTTGGAGGAAGACCTCTGATATGAAGAGGTTAAAATAAATCAAAACACACACACACACAAACTTAGATGAAACAGAAACAATGCAGAGACAGAAAGAAAACTTCCCTATTGATATTCTCCGAGAGATGGGAGAAGATATTGCATCCTTGAAACAAGAACACAATGAGAATGTGATTAAAAAAAGGACATTGAAAGAACACAGAACTTCTCGGAATTAAAAAGATGAAAGCAGAAATGAAGACATCACTAAATGATGATGGTAAGATAAAGCTGAGGAAATCTAGAACAAAGAGCAGAAGGACTAAGACATGAGAATAGATTTAAAAAAAAAAAAAGGACCAGACTAGGAGGTCCAACATTCAAATAACTGGAGTCTCGGGAAGAGAGAACAGTGAAACTCTCAGAGCTGAAAGATACAAGCATCAAGACTGAAGGAGCCCCCCATTGGAAGCAGCACAGTAGATGGAAGGAGACCCACTGGGCACATCACTGAACACAACTGGGGACAGAGAGACGATCTTAAGAGTGGCCAGCTTCAGATGTCTCAATAGCACTAAAAGCTAGAAGACATGAGGTGGTAACTTCTGAGGGAAAACGATTTTGATCCTAGAACTTTAAACCAAGCAATCCGTCAACTGTGAGTTTAGCAGAGAGACACTGTCAGATAGTCAAGGCCTCAAAAAATTTACCACCCATGCACACTTTTTTAAGGAGCTAGTGGGGGTGTGCTCTGCCAAAACAAAGGAGTCATAAAGGAAGGACGAGAAAAACACAGGATCCAAGACACAGGGGATTGAACCTCAGAAAAAGGCAAGCGGAATCCCTGGGATGGCCAATATGGAGAGCCCAGCATGGCTGTGACAGGCCCCCTGTCAGCCTGCTGCACTGGGGGCAGGTCTAAGGCTCTGAGAGACTCTTCTTCCAGAAGGTGAAACAACTGAATGCCTAATGTGTTTGAACACATGGAAGAGGATTAAGACTGTTCCTAAGTTGAGGAAAAACTAATTTTTTTTTTTTTTAGGAAAGAAAGGGAATCAAGGCTCAGCTATTGCAGCCCATCAAAAGAGTTGAAAGGGGGTGCCTCTAGGAGTGGGGAAGGAGAGAGGGTAGTTTGGGAGAACGGTTATTTTTGTTAACAATCCTTATAGAATTGACTGTTTCACCTACGTGCCTGTGTTAACTGGTTTAAAAAAACCTGAACTGAAAAGTGTAAAGCTAGAACTTTGGAGGATAATGCTAAAAACATACCAGTTCCATCAAATGTTTTTCTCCCTTTCTTAAGATGCAAGTAATTCTTCTTTAAAATATAAGCAATGTATTATAAAATGAATTTTAGTCATGCAAAAACAGAACACTGAAATTTTAGAATACAGCATCCTTTAGGCTTTGAGTAATTTGAAAGTTTCATGGAATAAGGCTGGTCCTATTTACTGTGTCATGTTGAAGTATTTTAAAAATACCTTAGAGAATCTATTATAAACATGCATCACTTTATAAATGCAATACAGCTTTTTAAATTTTTTTCTATTATGTATTTTTCAATGTCTGGCAAGTACATCCCATTGGTTTTCAAAAATGACAAATGTACTATCATTTAATTCTGTTGCTTGATGCCAGTACTCACACCCTGTCTTTGACATAAGGGAAACATACTTCCTTACATCTAGCAACTCAGAGCTCAGGGATTTTATTATCCTTGGCCAAGTGGGCCCTGCCATCTCTGTCACTGCAAACCTGCTGGCCTGTAACAGGGAGACATCACTCACCCCTACAGACCAGGAATGGCAGCCGCCTCATACACAACTTCAGAACAACGCCACGCACGGCATCAGGACACAATTCACTTCCCTGTCTATATCCCCTCCTGATGAGTACATGGATAATCTCTCCTTCCAGCCTTCCTTTCCATCAGGCCCTCAATTTCATGAGTAAGGATCAGCACAAAGCTGGCTCCTGGGAGGCGGAGGTCAATATATATCTCCACTGTCCAACTTCTCCATCGTCTCTGACACCAGCTGCTCCCTTCTCTATTTCTCTGCTGAGTTCAGTAATTTGCTGCTACATCACACAGATCTCACAGGCTGTAATTACGGTTATGTGGTTTATCAGGGCAAAGGATAGATTCAGAAGTAACAGGACAGAATACAATGCAGGAGTAACACAGGATTAACATGAAGAGGTACTCAGGCATGGTTTGGAAAGGTCGCCAAAGCGAAGGGCAGGTCCCTTCCCCAGGAAGTTCTCCTTTCTTCCAGGATTCTTACCCTCAGGAAGCTTCCTCGAGCCTTAGTGTTTCCGGATTTAGCAGCCTGTCCATGCACTCATTATTGGTTACCAAGTGGGCTCACAGACCCACATTAGGAGCATTAACACAAGCCCTCAGGTGCGGCCAGGTAGCCTACTGCTCTAAGATTTATTTCACAGAGGCCAGGGACAAAGTTCAAACCGCTTGAGGTGAAGTAACTCTTAACTCCACAGCCCCCAGATATTTTCCATAGCAGTGAAGCTGTAAGGAATTTGAGATAAGTGAGCAACGCCCCCAAGTCTGGACAGGATCTGGGCCTCCAGACCTACTTCCTCAGTGGTTAGAGTGAGGGACACCTAGATCATGTTCTGGTAAAAACAAACTTCCAGGAGAATCATTAACGTGCTTTCTTTATTTTGCAGGCCGCGACCTTCTGAATGCAGGATAACGCCTCAAACGAATGTTGCAATATCTCTGATTTGCAAAATCATTATAAAGTGGCTTCTGAGTTACAACACCATCCCGTCTCTCAGCTTGTTGTACTGTGGTGGCTTATATGTTGTTGCGATACTGGGAGCTATGCCACTGGTATTTCACATACTAGCAGGGTCGCTCACGGTGGACAGGTTTAAGCAGAGCTTATAGACTAAGACAAGGAAGAAAGGCCTGCCAATCTACTTCCAAAAATTAGCCAATACAAACCCTGTGGATCACAGAATATTGTCTGATACTTCAACTTAGTTATTTTGAATGCATCATCAGCAGAGATCAGTTGCTGGAGAAGGACATCATGTTTGGTAAAGTGGAGGACAGTAAGGTGAGAGAAACTCTCAGTGAGACAGATTGACACAGTGGCCTCAACAATGGGCTCAAATGTACCAGTGATCATGAAAATGGCACAGAACCAGGCAACATTTCCTTCTCTTACACAAGGGATCGTCATGGGTTAGAGCTGACAGGACAACAACTAACACAAGTTACCACAAACAAGAAAAAGAAGGATGTAATTGCAGGTTAGAGACAAGGATGGCACAAGTAAGTGTCTGTGGCAAACAAGTCGGGTAGTTCTTCCCTCTGGCCTCTCTGCATTGAAGCTCTTTCATCTCTTAGGAGATGACCAGTTAGCCTTTGAAGAAGGGGACACAATGATTATGAGCCTGCCCAGACCACTTGAGACATTTACATCACAAATACCAAAGCTTAACCTGGGTCAGACTATTCATATAGCTGGACTATATGAAGAAGAACGGGGCATCAGGATTAGAGGAAGACTCATTAACAACCTGCGCTATGCAGATGACACAGCCTTCCTTGCTGAAAGTGAAGAGGACTTGAAGCACTTACTGATGAAGATCAAAGACAACAGCCTTCAG